AATAAGATTTGCATTATACATATAACATATAACAATCCCTCTAACTTTAAGAATAATGTGCTTGTAACATTTTCCTCTTAATCCTAGAGGAATCCTCTTGAGGCCATATGTAAGAATAAAATCTTTTAAAATTTAAATGATACCGCTTGTTTTGAAATTACTTTTTTGGGTGTCTCTCTCTCTCTCTCTCTCTTTCTCGCTTGACCTCACCGTCGCGACAGTGACAGGGAGTGAGCGTCATGCTGTAGATAATTAGCGCCGATGCACTCGGGGACAATTGCAGCGACGACGACGGCTCTTCAGAGGCGGTGGCTAACCCCCCTCCCCCGTCGCGCGATCGTTTATGTAATACAAATCACGGCGATATTTCACGCGCCGCTCGGCGCGCAAACGCGAACGCCACTTGCCTCCTTTGTGGCAATCCCTCACGCTCACGTAAATTACCACGTGCTATTCACCGGCCAATTAATCAGGAATAATAAATAAAGCGCGGAGAGCGCGAAGGAGCGAGAGAGGCCGGGGGAAGAAAGAGAAGAAGGAAACGCGGCAGCCGCCCGCCGGCTCGATATGAGATTTAAGCGCGTGGATTAACGGTGAGACAACGAGTGCCTGGTCGACCTGGTCGCGGGACGCGCCCCCGATTGAGACATTATTATTTCCTCTCGCGTTTTTCCACCTTCCCTCTCTCCCTCCCACGCGCCGCGCTATGTTTCGTCGGGAGAGTCTCGGCGCTTTCACGCGGCGTCCGGCGATTTTGATCACCGCGGCGCCGACGGCGCGCGGGTAATTGGACATCGAATTGATCGCGATTATCGCGGGATGCGAGAGTCCTGGCAGCGGGAGGGGGGAGGAGGGAGAGAGGAGGAAAAGAACCCGTCGCGCGAGATGGAGGCGGGCTGGAAAAGTCGCATAGGAGTCCCGCAGGGGAGAAATTGATATTCGCGCGGGTTTCGCGCGCACAGCTCGGCCGGTATGAAATCCGAGGTATCGAGCCGGACGACGAGGACGACGTCGACGTCGTGTTGTAAATCCAGCTTCAGTGACGGTTACGTGTCTATCGACATCGAGCGGAGCGATCAATCAGCCGCGCTGCTGCGCCGCGTGAGAAAGCAAAGAGAGCGCGGCGTTTTTTCTTCGGTTACCGGCTAGCGCGCGCGTTTCCTTTTGCAACGCGAAGCCGATCCCTGTCTCTTTCGAAAGTATCCGGCGGGACGCAACAGGACGACTCTCGGCGAGGTCTCGAGGCTTAATCTCGAGACGAGCGACTCGCGACTTACTTCACGAATAGCGCGTCTCGCTCGTCTCGAGAGAATCGAGCGCCGGCTCTTTCTCTCCTTCTCCCTCTCGCCTGTTGTTTTTTTCTTTCCTTTTCTTTTTTACGGTCTTTCGCGATACACGGATCGTGCCGAGAGTACAAAAGTGCGCTCGTGCGCGCACGGTTCGATAAATCAGCAGCGGCGGAATTTCTCCCCCCCCCCTCTCTCTCTCTCTCTCTCTCTCTTTCGCGAGACGTGAGATAATAAATTGTAATTAGCGCGCGTATCGCGCCCGCGGTGCTCGATATAATATATCGTCGTCACTCTCGGCCGAGTGATCGAGTCGCCGTGAGAGCCGAAGATTTATTCATCAGGAGCCGCGGCAGGATACGCTCTCTTTCGCGCTCTCACCCGCCGACAGGTGTTTTCGTCCACGCTGCGCCCTCCGCTCGCCGAGATTGTTTCCTTTGTGTTTCCCGCGGATCTTGCCGGGAAATCGCGTGTTCGCAGAAATTTAAACGGCCGACCTGCGGTCGACGTTCCGAAGCCGTGACTTTTACATTTCTCGTGGATCCACGGTCGTCTCGAGTCGTCTTCCTGCGGAGCGATCGAAGCGGAACGCGAGTGATTGATTCTTCCCGATCGACCGCGCGTCTTCTGTTCGCAATTTGCGCGCGATTAAAGTCGCTTCGCGCGAGCGCTCGCGGTTTTGTCGGACCGCAAACATTCGCTCGCGGAACATAGTTGGCTGTCTTGGCGCGAAGCTGGCAAGGAGACGATGTGCAATTAGTCGACGGATCTCCTCCTTCGAGTTTGGCGGAGAACGCGCGGATAAAGCGCTGTCTAATGTAGTCTCTCTTTCTTTTTCTTTCTGTCTCTCTCTCTCGCTCTCTTTCTCTCTCTCTCTCTCTCTCTCTCTCTCTCTCTCTCTCTCTCTCTCCATCGTTACTGTCGAGACGCCCGCGCATCTGACGGCGTCCGCCGCTCATAATAGCTCGCCGATGCTGCATAAGCCGCGCTATGATAATAATTTCGCAACGCACGCTTATTTTCTAGAAAGTCCCCGTGTGAGATTTCAGCCCGCGGCTCGTCTCTCGACGGACGCACCTCGCCCCCTCGCCGGCGACGAAAACATGACGTGTGATGCGTTAGACGAGTGACGTGCGAAAAATTGAAGGTTGACAGCGAGAGACCGCAAGAAGAGCGCGTTTTTCCGAAAATTTCATTTCCTCGAACGAACCTGTTTCTAAATAGAGTCGTCGTTTCACTTTCACGCGTCTCTGACGTCTCCCTGAAGAAACGCGAGCCTCTGAGCGTTTTTTCGAAATTTCGAGATGTTAATTCGCTTGCGTGCCCTCCTTCTAATTACCCGCATACCCGAATTTTTTCATCGTCGCAAGATGGTTTTCACACCGTGATATGAGCCTGGCGAGCAACTTGATAGAAAAAATAAAAGTTCGCAATACGGTTCGATTGTACTTGGTTTGTACCTGTTTGTACCACTTTTTGTTTCGTTTGTACTTCGAAGGAGAAAAAGATAGGGGGAGGGGGAAAAATAACCAGCAAGCAAGCATAAGATAAAACAGCCAACGCCATTCGAAAGAGAATCTGTGATATCTGAAAAATTGACAAAAGTACCTCTTGGATGATTTTTGAATATTCTGTACTTCCGGTTCCTTTGAGGTACAAACGACTTGAAGGCAGGTACAAGCGATTCTCTTTCGAATGACGTTGGCCGGTTTCCGGATACTTGCTTGTTGGCTATTTTCCCCCTCCCTCTATCTTTTTATTCTTTGAGGTATGAACGAAACGAAAAATGGTACAAACATGTACAAACGAAGTACTATCGAACCATATTGAGAATTTTTTTTTTTATTAAGTTGCTTGCCAGGCTCACATCGGTGGTTTTCACGATTTTTATTTAACCTTTTTATATCATGAATTAATTTATCTAAGACCTTCTTGTTAAAGACCTTTTTGTGCAATTAAATAACTTTATTGTATGCATAAGGAACGTAAGGTAAGACACTGAAAAGAAATTCCAAAGAGTAGTAAATGAGCGTTCATATAGGACGGTATTTTTAAGTCAGGATGTAAAGGATTGAATTCCATGTTGAAACGAACCTCGTGCCTCGATCGAGATGAACATCGAGCGTCTAATAAGATAGAAAAGCGAGACGAGCCGATCTCACGCGAGGCTCCTCTTCCTCGCTCGACATCCCTCTTTCGCGGGGTGCCGAGGCGGAGGAAAGAGACTCGGCCTGTAATTAGCGCGACCGCTTGGCGCGCGCAATTAGACGAAAGTGTCCGCGCAACGTCTTTTGCCTGCGTGCCTCCGCCGCCGCTGTACTCGCGGCCACTTGCGACGTCGAAGAAGGAGGAGGAGGAACTCACTCGCAGGAATTGGAGCGTGCTCTTCGCGGATACGGTCGACGCGCGTCCATTACGCCGGTGCGTCGCGCCGTGAAAAAGCTGTCTCCGCGAAAAAGCTGCGAAACGGAGCCACGTAACAGAACCGGCGCGGCCATGCGGATTTCTCTGGGCTTCTGGTTCCGCGATCGCGAGCTTCTGATCGGCGCACCTTGGCTCGCTCTTTCGTCGCTCACGAAATAGGTCGCGTGTGAGCGCTCGATTCGGTCCGTCAGGTGGACGACAATGGAGTCCGGGTAGGACACTCGATTGCCACTCTGATAGAATCGCAGTTTCGGTCTTTGCGTCTGCCTCTCCTCTTTTCCCCTCGTTAAGGGGGAAATTACGGCGGAAGATCGTTTTCAAAGCTATTTTTACGAATTTTCTTAACAGAAACGGTAAGATGGACTTGACATTTTCATAGTGTATTCGTTAATGCTCAAAGCAAAAAATAAATTTTATTGAATCACAAGAATCGATTTAATTTGTAATTATAGATCAAAATGCAGTCATCCGTTTGCGAGCTCTATGTGTCGACATAGAGCTCTTTGCTGTCGACATAATTCCAGGCCTCTCACTACTCTGAAACCAAAAAATAAGACAAATTTTTTAAATATACGGTTGTCATCATAGCCCGTTATATAACCAAAATGAAGGCAGTGAAGCCAAGTTTGGAAAAATAATAACTGTACAAAAAAAAAAGTATCGAAAGTGAAACATTTTTCAACCTGTAATCATGTTAAAAAAAAATGAATAAAATACAACAAATGTAACTGTGATCGAGATTGGGGCGCGAAAACTACGTGTCTACTGCATATCGCGTATAACTTTCAAGTTACTCGGTTCAGTAGTTTTTGCGCGATCGTGCCGACAGTTTAAGAAAATGGTGTTTCCAGATAAACGCGTTTAAAGTTTGATGTGCACTTTCCTGCATATAGATAGCAACAAATTTATTTTATACTTTGAACATTAATGAATATACATGGTGAAAATTTCAAGTCCGTTGATCTTGCCGTTTCTGTTAACAAAAAATTCGTAAAAATAGCCTTGAAAACGACCTGCTTCGTATGTAATTCCCTTAAAGCGATACTATAATTATCTGCAAGTCAAACGATATTCAGCAATTTTCAGTTATGTTGATAACGTTATTAAACTGTACAATCACAATTATTATATGCTGATGATATTATAGCCTCAAGTGGGGCCTGGGGCTTTTCCGATGTAAGTGCGTTATTTTGACGCAAGTGCGTTATTTAGATGTAAGTGCGTTATTTAGACGTAAGAGACATGGCCGACGCGAACGCTCTAGAGCGTCACTTCTGTTTTCTGTTGCAGGTGAGTCCAAGAGCAGGTCCTTACCTAGAACCCGGCTAGAACGGGAGCGCAATGTTCGAGGTGAGTGTCGAGCGCAGAAACGCGTTCCTCTGTTCGGCGAGACTCGGCCGCGATTTGAAATCGCCCGCGCGCGAGATCCGCGAGAAGTCGACATTTGACGAGCTTCAGTCGCGCGTCTCTTCTCGATCGCGGTTGCGATTGTCGCAATTGATGATCGCGCGAGCTGCATCGAGCCGGAGCGTAGGCGGCAGGCATGCGCAGCCTACGTTTATCGCCCGTCTAATTACCGCGGTGAACAATGACGTTCGTTGAGCAAGGTGACAAGGATCTGCCGCGCGGTCGCAGCACAATAGCGCTTACGTGCGGGACCGACCGCTGCGTTGTTGCGCGCGGAAGGAGAAATTCCACGCGTCTTCCTCACTCGGCTTCCGACTCTGAACGTAAGCGGTTCGCGGAAATATGCCAATTAGCCGCGTTGATGCTTATCTCTCGTTTTGGCCGAAAATCCTCGCTAGCGATATCGCTTGGGAGTCCTTCCGAGAGTCACTTTCCGATCAGCTGGCTCCGAGAGGAAAATTGCCGATTGGCTCGCGCAATGGAATGTGCAAATTCGCGTTACGCAATTGGGATTCAACGAGAGAGCCTGATGACGTCGTCCGTAACCGTAAAGCGATCGGGCGAAATCGCGATGATAATGCGCGTTGCGTCCTTCCGCCGCGCCGCGCCGCGCGCGTTCTTACGTGTGCACCGCCGTTACCTAAACGGAGATAAACGGACTGCAAGGCCGGAATTGTGTAGGCGCGCGGATGTAATGACGGGATTAATTCATTAGGTGACCAATTAAGCGCGCCGACACTTTGACATCCTTGGCATTCTCATGAATATTAACTCGCTCATTTGCCGCGCGAGGAGTGACGGCTGGAAAACGGCATTTGCTCTCTCTCTCTCTCTCTCGCGCGCGCGCGCACCTCATTGTCATTCGCATTCGCGAGAGAACGTAGATAATAGACACACGTATGCGTATGTGTTACTTTTGAAAATATATTTATATCTCGAGTTACACACACACACACACACATATGCCTACACTTATGCGCCTAAAAATAGTTTCCTTTTTCTCATCGGCTAAGGCCTGGTTTACAATACGTGTCGTAAGTTGTAAGCCGCAAGAATTGGCGAATCACAGTCGATTGTTACAAAAATAATCGGCTATAATTGGTCAGTTCTTACGGCTTACAGCTTACGACACGTATTGTAGACCAGGCCTAAGACTCATGTAAGTTTACAAAGGTAACGCCGTCGTTTCTTTTTTCTCTCTTTTCCCCCTGTTTTTTTTTTCTTTTTTTCCCCAAAGGGTTTCCGCGACATTTCGTTTTCCGCGTTCGCAAGTTTGCTCGAATCAGCGACACGAGAATGGAATTTACGACGGCTAGGAACGTGCTGACACGTTTTTGCTTCCCTGGCCCTTTCTCGTTCGCGCCATAAAAGTTTAATTGTTCGCCGGCCGGTTAAATTAGATTTTTTTCGCTCGCCGCATTTTGTCGCGATCTCCCCCTCGGCTCGGTGAAAACTGGGAGAGAGAAGTTGTCCATATTTTTGCCAGGACTCGCCGCGGAATTAATCAGGACACTCGGCGGCAAGTCGAGCAATAGCTGCTTACATTGATAACGTCTTGTAAAAAAGTATCTTATTTTATTTATATAATTATTTTTAAAGCAGATCTTTATGACTAACGAGATATATTCAGAGTTGAAAGCAAAGGAAGAAGAAAATATATCTTATGTGTGTGTGTGTGTGTGTAAAAAATTAAATATTAAATACCCGCGCAGAACGCATAAATATTTCTATAATTTCGTAATAAGTGTGAGACGTTTGTATTATCGTATCTTGATAAATCAGAAAGGGGAGCGCTTCTTGATGCAGAGCGCGGCTTTATCGACGCTATGCTCTGTCTTTCCAACACGTGGTATGGAATATATCTCGCTCTGGGAACGCTGCGATTGTAAGAGCTGGCGACGGGTAAAACAGAAACCTTTCAACGAGCACTTTGTAGTTCTGTAAGATAAGACGAACTAACCGCACGATATGTCACGCTTATCGGCTACTTTCCGTAGAGTCTAATTTTGAAATTTGCCAAACGTTTGCTGAAACGTGGCATTTCCGCCGTTTACTCTTTTAACAATTCGATCGAAACTAAGAGATCATTTAAAATGGATGCCTCCCGTATCTAATCTTAATAGTCGGTAAATATTTACTCGAGCGTCACACTCCGATTATTTACTCCTTTTACAATCCGAGCAAAAGATTACTCGAAATGCCGGGTGCTTTTTACACCACCCAATCTTGATCGTCTGGCAAATGTTTCTCCGAACGTTACGCGTTTGGATTATTCGCTCTTTTAATAACTCGATCGAAAGCCGAGAGATCGACCATCCGAGGGAATTATCTTCTCAACGTGCGGCGCGAAGAACTCGCGGACAATGAAATATGAAGAAACGACATGCAATTTTCTCTCGAGCGCACCTCCGAGAGCAGTCTCCTTCCTCGCGATTGCGATCTCACTTATCCGAGCGTTCGCGCGCGCGCGCGCGCGCTCTTGAGACAAGAAGAGAGACTGCTGCGAGGCCCGTTAATGAATCGCGTGCGCGACGTTAATCTCGTTTACCGCGTCTCGGCGATTCGCCACATGCTGGGACGCGCGAGAGCCGCCACTCTCTTACTCTCGTCGGCTGCCTCGCGCGTTCGATCCTTCTTCCGATGCGTGCGTCGTCGCGTGGCCTGCGTGCAGAGCCATTAACGGTCGTCCACCCCCTACAAGGCGGTCGAATCGTATATGGGCGTCCCGTCCATTCGCCATTCGGATCATTGACCGTTGCGAGCTTGATACCGTATTCCTTACCTCGATCGCCTCATCTTCCACCCCGCTGGCGGCTCGCGAATCAATTTCCACTTAAAGTTCGCTCAAAGCTCCCCCGCCTGCTGCACGCCTTCCGCCTTTCTGCATCCTGCATTCTGTACCCTTGGTCCTTTCCTATCCCTATCCCATCTCCGCGCGACATGAGATGCGCCGCTCGCTCGCTCGCTCGCTCGCTCGCTCGCTCGCTCACTCACTCACTCACTCTCGCAGCGTACACGCCGCGGAGTCTCGCGTGACTTTGGCGGAAATTGCCTGCCGCGGATCGGCTAACGATCTCGCGGGATTTCGCTATTCATTAAAGCGCACCCCCGCGGAAATTAAGCGCTCGCTTCTCGCGATGATCCGGCGGAGCCGCGTCCACGCCGGTGGTCCAGCGGTATCAGTGATATCCTCGCCGCGGTGCATTCAATCGCGCGAGAGGGTTTACGGGAGGAGATCGCCCTTTCTTTCCTCTCTTTCTTCCTGCTTCCTGCAGGCGGATGTATTTCCGCTGTAATCGCGTTTGAATCGGCTCAATTGTGAAATCATTAACTCGGTTAAGTAACTCGATTAAATCGGCTCGCCGGAGGAGGCTCTTGCGGATTTCCGAGATCGCTTTGCCCTTAGCTGAAGACTCAACTTTCAAGAAGGAGACGAGGACAAACATGTCTAAACTTCCGTATACATTAATATTAACCCTTTGTACTCGGGATGCCAGCACAGCTGACACGAACATTTATTCCGGCTACTCGGAATGCCAACTGTGCTGGCATAAAAGATTTAAAAATAAGACAGCAAAAAACAATGAAATGTGGCAACGACATTGAAGGAAATAAAGATCTTTTTTTTAGTTTTCGTAAAAATTTAGTAGTTAAACAAGATATAATTAGTTTTGATGAGACATATTATATTTATATATATCGAGTCGGTGGAAGGAAATGTGTGGAAGTATTCCTCGAGTGCAAGGGATTCATGCTTCACACGAAAATATATTTTGTGTCGTATAAAATGTTTAAATATAAATTCCATTTATATTTTAATTAAATTATGTTTTAAATTAAATTATATTTTAAATTAAATTTTATTTTACGCAAATGATATTTTACGTTTAAGACGAAAGATTTTCACGTCTCTCACGTGACGCGCCGCTCACGACCGGAAAAACGCGGCTCATATCTCGCGAATGAGTCGCGTCGGACCGCGACGAATGTCGCGAGTGCGGTTTTCTCATCGCGGGCAAATTGCGGCCGAAGGAGAACGTCCATTCTCCCGGCTCTCGGCTCTCGGGGCTGCGTCGCACGTTAACACGTCGTCCTCCGTCCGTCCCGCCCGTCGTTCTCGAATCTCGCTGCTTTCCCACGTCTCGTCGAGCGAGCTTCATCCATCTTTCAGCGAGACGACCCCTCGTCCGACTGCTCTCTATCCCGCCTAAATGCCCTCGGAACTTCTTCCGCTTCTTCGCGCTAAGCGGCCTGCCGCTTCTCCGCAGCTCCGCGGCTCCGCAAAAATCTCAGCCGCTTGCGGTTAACTCGCGCTCGCACGCGGCACCGAGGCCGTGCTTCCGCGAGAGAGAGAGAGAGAGAGAGAGAGAGAGAGAGAGAGAGAGAGAGAGAGAGCTTCGTTTACGTAAATAGCCCGGTGTGTGCTTAAGCGTATGACAAACAAAACGGCACGGCGCAGCCTCCTCGCGGAGGAATAATATTACCGCGCGCTATGAAAAACACGTGCGCCTTCGCTGCGCGTTGTTCGCGATGTTTGCACAGCGTAAAAACGCAATAACGGACACGATGGAGAGAGAGAGAGAGAGTGAGAGAGAGAGAGAGAGAGAGAGAGAGAGAGAGAGAGAGAGAGAGAGAGAGAGAGAGAGAGAGAGAGAGAGAGCTCTGGCCGACGGCTGAGATAAGCGAGAAACAATAAGAACAACAGAGTCAAGCTGAGCTGACTGACTGTCGCGCGTATTAATCGCGTTCGATTCGATCGGCTCTTTCGTTTCGAGCAAACTCGCTCGCCTATGCGGCACACCGACGCGACGGGACGTTGAGCAACCGAAAACGACGTGACGTCGGCGGAAACGGTCGCCTTAATTAATTTAGCAACGATCACTGTCGTAGTTCGACGTGCTCCTCCGTCACGGCTGATTGACAGTAGAATGAGAGATTTACTG